TGGATTAGGGATCGCTGTAGCCTCATTTTTTCTCGTTTCAGCCTTGAGAGCTGAAGAAGGGTGAAGTTGCTCATCTGAGATAAGAAAAAAACAAGAAAATTGCGTAAAAGTGAGCGAAAATTTAGGCAGCGGTGCACAGAATTTAGCTGAGGCAAGGCAAAAAACGACCTGGAGTGGGGCAGCATTCGATTAAAAAAGCGCTGCGTTTGTCCAGTAAAGTATGGAAATCACTTGGGGAGTGCGAAATAGTACAAAAATGGTGACTGTGTCAGTCATAAAATATGAATGATGTGCCTGAAGAGGCAGGACTGCGATTTGGAGGAAGGGGCGGAAATCCGGTGTTTTGGACATCAGCGCGCTTTTGGTATATTTCTGTCTCCTCCTCCGGATTATAGAAAACTGGGTATGCTACTGGTTACAGTACATTTTTATTCCTACCTTTCGTTTGTCGATAAATTTAAACGTTTTGTGTCCTTTCAACATGATGCTCTTACAAATAGTCAGCTGCGTCTTTCAGTTCATGCACGATCATTATTTCGTAGTTTGAGGACTCCCTTTCATCTGTCGAAAGCGAATTCCGTTTGTCACACAGTCACGATCCTGCAACATTTTCCCCATTTAGCGAAGTCGTTAACTGTATGAATAGGTACTGCTTTATATCTACCTTATGCGCTCGCTGGGGTAAATCATCGTCAATTTTGCACAAAGGAAATAAACTGTTTCCACTTAAATGTCGTTCTTTGAAAACGACTTGGCTATTCAGCGAGCAGTTTTCCCGCTAAAACTTAAATACTCACGCATACTTGGAGGCTGAATTTGAAACCTTTAATTCGTACTTAGTCAGGGAACATTCCCCCAAAATTTCAACTTTCCAGCTTTTTTAATTCCCGAGCTAGTAATTTTCCCGCCGAAACTTCCACGTGCCCATACGTGGGTACCACGTGTAATTGCGGGCTGAATTCGAAACCTTTAAGTTGTACGTGAATGGGGAACATGCTCGTAAAATTTTAGCCTTCCAGCTTTTCTTGTTACAGAGTAGCAGTTCCTCGTCCAAGATTTTCACTTCGCGCACGTGTTAATTAGGCACGACCAGGGGTTAAATTTGAAGTTTTTACCTCACATATGCGCAAAGAATGTCCTTGCGAAATTTGAGCTCTTCCTCTGGTTTCTCTAGTAGCTTCCCCGCCAAAAAGATTTGCATGCTTTTTGAAGCGTCCGTACGCGGGGTCTGGGCGTACGCGGATAATGATATTAAAACAAAGGAGTCGCAAATGGTGTGGGCACATACTCGCGAAGTTTCAGTCTCTTAGCTTTTCTAGTTCTCGAGCTGAAACTAGGTATTGAAAGTGTGAACACACACACACACACACACACACACACACACAAACACACACACACGCACACACACGCACACACACACACGCACACACACACACACATAGGCAGCCTCTTGCCATTATGCTTTTTATGCGTTTTTGCACATATGCAAACTGCAAAAACGCATATTGGGGAGAGGCTGCCTGTGTGTGTGTATGCGTGCATGTGTGTGTGTCCGTGTGTTCGCAGTTTTTGTCACCCACTTTCAACTCGAGACCCAGAAAAGCTAGAAAGCCGAAACTTTGGGGATATGTGCCTATACCATGCGCGACCCTTCCGTTTTGATTTCATCCCCCTTGGATGCCTGGATGCCGCGTACGGACGTTTTAAAAAATCTGCAAATTTTTTGGCAGGAAAGCGATCTCGGGAACCACACGAGCTAAGGGGCTGAAACTTTGTAGG